TCTCCGTTCGTTTCCGCCTATAACGTTCACCTTGATTCATATTTATCATTGGCAAAACTCAAAACTGAAATATATGCTCACAGTTCTTGTGCGTATTGTTATGCCTTTTGGTTAATGCTGAAAATGGATGCATATTATTGGCTAAATACATCGAATAATATTCAGAATTACTGCTGCAATAATCCTTGTCAGCATTTTCGCTTTGAGCAGGCTTCGAAACTGTCAGTACGCATTCAGTTTGTTTTGGGATAGTTTGCTGAAATTGATGTGGCAGCGTAACCTTTTCTGCACAAGTGAACAATGCATTCTTCATTCTCCTCAAGTTGGCCATTTTCGCCCACTAAAGGCTCGTTATCCCGGTTATTTTATCGGATTAACCTGATTTTGCGGGTATTTTGTGTAATCCACTGCCTTCGTTGGCAGCTCAAGCAGACTGTGCAGATCGAGGCACAGACACACCAACAGATATGAGTGATTTATGCAGCCCATTGCGGCTAATCTGTGAGTCAATGAAAGAGGATTATTTTGACTAGTCAGGCGGTCACTGAACAGTCAAATGCTTGCCCAAACCTCGTTGCTAGGGCCAGGCAGATTAAGACAAACCTGGAGTGTACATTATTTGCCATGCATAACGTGCATATTGGCGAATGAGATATTTACAGTTTCTACCATTAACAGTAAGTTCATCTTTCGATTTCCATACATTCCACGTGTAGTGATTGGAGAATGAGAGGTTGAGTCATGAGTTTAGGCCTTCTGCGTTAACCTGTTTGGCCTGGATGATGGGGAATTTTGAGATTTCATCTTCACTTCCCGACGAAGCTGGTCTCCGCGCAACAGGCTTACAAGGTTGATTGAGCTTACTTACTTCTTGTTAGCTCGTGTATGAAGTGCTTCGAGCGAGTGCTGAATTCTACGTTTCAACCACACCCTCAATCATACCATCCGCATCGTTTCGTCTATTGCTGTCTAGCCTACAGATACTCGGATTGTACGTGTTGCTTATTATTTTCTACTGATTTTCATCCGCTTCTGCCCACTTGTCCGCTTTCAAGGCTGGTCCGTTCGAGTTGAGGCAGATGGGACTGCGTGACCGGTGCTGCCGGCAGCGGGTCTCATTGAACTCGGTCCGTCTGGTGTGTTTACGCTCTGCTTTCGCGTGAGGAAGAGCTCTTGTTTCCCGAGGGAAACTGGCATGTCGTGTGGAGGCCGGACCTCGGCGAAGCCGCACCTGACTCGGCAAGTCGGGCATGTGATCCGAAGAGACGATCTCGCTGGTCACCGACTCCAGACGCACAATCGGACGCCAACTGACCCAGGCGTTGGGCTCCGGAGACTTGAGCTCCTCCGCGCTAACGACCGCCCCTCGCCTCCCGACGAAGGCCGACGACTCTGCAGGCAGTTGTCTGCGATGGCGTTGTGGCTGATGCTGATGCTGATGCTGATGCTGATGCTGGTGTTGGCGATGATGCAGATGCTGGTGTTGGTGTTGGTGTTGGTCACAGGCGCTTGGCCATCGGTCTTCGTGTTGTCGGGGGCAGAGAAGGCAGCATTTTGGCGAATCGGAGTTCGCATGTTGCCGTGCCGGTGACATGACGACTGACCGAGGTCGGCTCGTGGTTGTCAGGGAGAATCGATGCTTGCTACCGCAGAAGTGATGGTGGTGCCACGATTGGTTGTGTTTACTGTCGAGGCAATGGCACTGGTGATTGTGAGGATGGTTGTGATGTTGGTGTCGATGGTAGTGCCGATGCGGAGGCCAGGGCAGCAACTGAGGGTGGGAGTTGGGCTCGCAGTGGTAGAGGCAGGCGGCACTTTGGGGCTGATGCAATAGCCAGGAGTCCGAGGGGGAGGGCAGGGGACCGAGCGGATCCCGGTCTGCGAAGAAGGGATTTGTCGACGCACGAGACTCCGAGCCTCGATGAGGGTACCAGAAGTCGACCGAGTCGCTGGTCTGAAAGGCAAACGAGGAGGTTTCCTTCACTACTGGAGCGCGCGAGTTGATGCGCAAAAGAGCCGTTTAAATGGACAAATTGTTCCCACTTGCAGCTGACTTTTATGTGATTTACAGAAGAGGAGCTCAACTACGAATTATTTGTAAAGTATTTTGTACCCAATTAGTTGGGCAAAATGTTAGGACAGGAGAGACGATGCGTTTTCAGTGCATGCGAATTAGCATTTAAGGGGCAGAAAGCTCATTTTACTGCGCATAAAGCCTGGCATTTCTGGCCGAGACGAACCATAACGAGGCTAATTGCTGGTGGATACATCTCATATTACTGATTTACTGATAGCCTCGAGACAATTCTTAAATGCGAGAAATAAAGCAACGTATTCGAGTGTTATAGCAAACATGCGTTTGCTTTATCGACAATCCCACCAAAGAATATGATATGGCAAAAATCCTGGCCATCCTTGAAATTCACATCTGCCATATGACTCAAGTGCACTCGTGGCAATGCGGTCGACTGGTCAACGTATCAAGTTCACATTCTGCATTGCCGTGGTTCGACTCCCGCTGGAGGTGTTGATGAGGCCGATGCGAGGTCGAAACTGTAGTCCACTCCGGCCGGGATGAGAACAACTTTTGGGCAATGTGAAATTGAATGTAAACGTCAGCCCTACTCATATGATTGTGGGAAAATTCTGCTACCAGTCCGTTATCACCTGAAACAAAATACGGTGAATACATCTCATATTACTGATTTAATGATAGCCTCGAAACTCTATTTACCTACGCTAATTGATGATTTTCCTTGAAACTGGATTTAGGAGGTGAACATATCAACTCGACGTTACAAGCCCAAGTCGGTAGGTAAATTGTGCACCATCGGTTAAGGGGATGGAAGACTGACAGTTCAACTTTCCCCTGATCAAATTCAAAGGCCTCATGTATCCATTGAATTTCGCAGGGTTTTGCTCCCAAAAAGCTATTCTCTTCTCGGCTGCACTGAACTGCAGTCTCGACCTCGTCTGAACTCGTCTCATCAGCACCGCCAGCGGGATTCGAATACGGTTTGCGGCAGCCTCGACACTTCAACTACTACGCCAATAGCAAACGACCACATTATGTGTTTTCCGTATTATTTATAGGTTTTTGAGGCTACCACTTGCTCTGAGCATATTTCGCTGAAAGTGATGAAGAAGTGGCAGTTGCATTTTCGAACAATGCTATTCATACGTTTGAATGTGAATACCTTTTGGGAAGTAAAGTTATGTGAGATTCACTTGTGTCATCTGATCTTTCATCGCTTTAAACGAAATAGGATGAATGCATCTCCTGTGCTAGATCTACCGGTAGTCGTGAGAATCGACTTATAAACTGAATTTTCTGTACCATCCGAATCCAAAAGAATATTGCCAATTCAAACATTGATCCGTGACATGCCAAATGTCAACTTTCAAGGTGGCTGGAGGTTGGAACTGGCAGGATCAACCCTGCTTGATGGTCCTCTCGCCTCGTAATCGGGTGTGCTACAACCTTATATTCCTTCATCTTTTACATCAGCCACCTTTCAATCCAGTTTGTTGCAATCCTGGCATTCTACAAAACAGACATTAACTTGCGCCTAACTATAGCTTTTATGTGATTTTTCACAAAGTCGCTTCTCCGATGAGGAAGAAGTTTGTCATCAAGTTGCAATCTGATACTCGATATCTGATACTTGATCTTTAAACCTGTAAATGGACACGAAATAATCTAAATTTCTAACTGAGCAAGTAGGAATCGAGCTTTTCTCTCAGCCTATATCTCTTCTGTACCTCCGATAGGATTATAAATCCGATGGCGGTTACCAGGTGACAACAGTCGCAAAAGTTATGGAGGTTATTGAGATCAGCAGATTGAGCAAGAGGTTGAAATTAATTAATATACAGTCAAGGGCTAATTATGCTTAAAATGTTGAGCAGTCTATAAAATGGAGGCAACTCAAGTTGTCTTTCATGATTATGTTCCTGATTACAATTGCTCTTTGTATGTATATAAGGTCAGTCAAAAACTCGCCAATTTTTCCAATCCTCTTAAAGGTTGTATTGGGCGCCGGTTAAGGCTGAAAATGCACATCGTCTAACGTTAGAAAATCAATTTTAAATTATAGCTAATTAAAATCCTAGTGCTAACAGGAGTCGTCCTTATCCATAAAACTCATCTAAGGTGGAGCGCAGTTTCCAGCTGGCCCAGGTATCATTAGCAT